CCAATGCCACCATCTTAAATAGTTCTGATTGCTAAGGAATTCCAACACATTTCATTCATGTATTCCATGCATACCAATCCTGAATGTGAACATATGCTCCAACACTTAGTACTTGAGCACTTTGGGCAAGTCACCTGGTATTTCCAAGCCACAATTTCTTCATTTACAAAATGGAGATAACCTGACTTCATGATTTCACAGGGATACAAGAACCAAATTAAAAGACGTGAGAACACGTTTGAGAAGAGTACTGATATACATACAAATGTTTGCTATGATTGTAAAGATCTCCAAATTCCCACATTTCACTGAAAGAAATAATTTTGCTCCAAATGTTCAGATGTAGAACCTGAATGGCTTACAGTTGCTGAGTTGGCATTACACACTTCAACATCATCAAGCAAGTCTCCAGGGACTTTTCTATCCAGAGCTCCTTCTAGGAGTAGAAGTCTCGAGAGTCCTCAAAAAATTAAAAATTACCGTAAGATCCAGTAATTCCACTACTGGATATTTAACAAAAGAAAACGAAAACGCTAATTCAAAAACAGATACATGCATCCCTATGTTTATCGCAGCATTATCAACAACAGCCAAACTATGGAAGCTGCCCAAGCGTCCACTGATAGATGAGTGGGTAAAGAAGATGCGGTGAATTTATATACAATGGAATACTATTCATCCATAAAAATGAATGCAATCTTGGGCGCCTGGGTGGCTCAGTTGGTTAAGCGACTGCCTTCGGCTCAGGTCATGATCCTGGAGTCCCAGGATCGAGTCCCGCATTGGGCTCCCTGCTCGGCGGGGAGTCTGCTTCTCCCTCTGACCCTCTTCCCTCTCGTGCTCTCTCTCTCTCAAATAAATAAATAAAATCTTTAAAAAAAAATGAATGCAATCTTGCCATTTGTGACAATATGGATGGATCTAGAGGGTCTAATGCTAAGTAAAATAAGTCAAAGAAAGACAAATATTGTATGATTTCATTCATATGTAAGAAACAAAACAATAAAGAAAAAAAGATAAACCAAAACATAGACTCTTAACTTATAGAGAACAAACAGATGGTTACCAGAAGGAAGTGTGTGAGGGGATGGGTCACATAGGTGAAGGGGATTAAGAGTACACTTATTTTTTTTTTTTAAGATTTTATTTATTTAGAGAGAGTGTTCCAGCACGAGGAGGGGGAGGGGCGGAGAGGGAGGGAGAAAGAATCCTCAAGCCGACTCTGGGCTGAGTCCGAGGAAGAGGCTCAATCTCACGACCCTGAGACCATGACCTGAGCCAAAATCAAGAGTCAGATGCTTAACCGACTAAGCCACCCAGTTGCCCCAAGAGTACACTTATCTTCATGAGTACTGAGTAATGTACAGAATTATTAAATCACTATACTGTATACCTGAAATTAATATAAATATGGTATGTTAACTATACTGGAGTTAAAATAAGTAAAAAATAAAGTTCCTTCTATGAAAGTAGAGTAAAATGTTACAACTTAGGTATTTACATTTTAATACTTTCACTAGTGGCGCACACACTTTTACTACATCCCTCTTAAGAGCAGGAATAGCACTTTGTCATTTTGGCTATAGTAACTGGCACAGAGGCCAGCTCTGTGCTTAGTATCGGAATACTCTTTTCTAGAATGAAAGTAAAATCTTCATATGAATATATATGAGGTGGAAAGAGGTCTGGCCCTGGAATACAGACACTTGCTCTCATACCACATACAGCCTTTCTTGAGGCCCTCTCAAGTGTCCTGAACCTTCATTTCCCTTTAAAAATCTACAGTGTAATTGTGTTAAGACTGATGAATCCCAGACCTGTACCCCTGAAACAAATAATACATTACATGCTAATAAAAAAGAGAAAAAAGAAAGTCTACAATGTAAGTCTGTAATGCCCTTTTATCTGATGTCAGACACCCACCCAGAATACTGAAAATAAGGCCTTTGAGTGACAAAATGAAAAAGTTTTTCCCAAAATCCATGCATGCACTTTATCCAAGCAGAGGCCTATTGATTTTTAGTTCATGTGTATTTATAACAAACTTGGTTATTTGATTATGAAATACTTCCCACTGGGTAAAAGCAGTTAAACAGATCAGATGCTGAAAGAAACTGGAGAGCCCTTAGTTCCTCTTCCTGATGAATGAAACCAAACCTTCCCAAAAAAGATCAGATTCAATTCAAAATCATACTGTGGCCTAATATCACGGAACACTTGACAAACATCATTCATTATGGTCATCTTCATCTCTTACATCAAAATTAGACTCAATTCATGATTAATTTAATGCAATCTTTAATTATAATAAAACAGAACGAATGCTCAACAAATACTGCAGTCTAGTGCTACCTACCCTATCAATAACCTGGGAAGAAATGATAAAGCCCTCTGTTATAGTTCACTTCTCCTTACAAGTAATGTCTTCACTAACTGCTCTTATTTTTTCCCTACACAGCATTAATGGAATCACAAAGGCCACCTAATTTTAATAAACACAAAAGTTGGCTTTTGATGTATCTAAGAGGAATTTTACATATAGAAACAAAATGGATTATTTTACAGAATTAATTTTACCATAAGGATGCTAATGTACTTTAAAGAAATACAGTGTTACTATTTGCCAACTATAGGTCATCAGCTCTTTCAAGGAAGTGACCATGTCTGCCAATTCTGATCCTTAAAGAGCACGGGGGAGTACCATAGCCGTCAGAATACTTAACAAATATTTCTGAAATTGGCTTTGAAAGGACTTTTATGTATCAGTAATGGAAATCCAAATGCATGTAATTATTTTGTAAAGTTAAATACACAAGGATTTTAAGAATCTTGAGCAAATTTTATGTTCACTAGAGGAAATATATGACGGAAAGTAATTTATATTACATCATAAATTATGTAATGTTAAATGAAAAATATCAGGATAAAAATTATACACAAGGGCGCCTGGCTGGTTCAGTCAGTTAAGAGTCTGACTCCTGATTTCAGCTCAGGTCATGATCTAAGGGTTATGAGATCAAACCCCTCCACACCCAGGGCTCTGTGCTGAGCATGGAGCCTGCTTAGGATTCTCTCTCTCTCCCACTGCCCTATGCACGTGCACCCTCTCTCTCTCCCCCCCAAAAAATATATATACACAAAATATTATATATAAAATTTAAATATAAATTATTTTATACATTTTATAGATGTGTTAATCATACTTGCATATATTTACACATTTAAAAATAAAATATTTTAAATTTTTATATACAAAATACAAAAACAATGAATAAAACAAAAATTATACATAAAATGGGATAAAAATTAGGTATGAAATGTAATTACAATTTTTTTAACATAAAAGACTGGAAAAAAGACTGAAGGAAATGCACATGTTCACAGTATTTGTGTGATGAGACCATGGCTGACATTCTCTTTTCTTGATATGCTAAATATTACTTAATGCACTACTTTTACAATGTAACAATCTTTTAAAAAGAAAAGAAAGGGAATAAATGGGAAGGAGCACTACTAAGGGGTAAGGAAAAGGCATAGAGCAGTTACTCCTTTTAATAAGGGCTATAATTAAATTTCTACCCTGGCAAAGAACTTTTTAAGTGCTCACAAATGCTAAGTTTATAGAACATTCGTGTTGGAGGGATGTCCTAATTCTGTCATTTGACAGGTACAGAAAAAATATATATGGCTGTGTGACGCTTTACAGTTTACAAAGTGCTTTCAAAATGTCACCTGTCCTTCAAATAATCCTGAGATAGGCTCATATGCCCCATTTTTAGGACCAGGAAACTGGGGGTTAGAGAGATAACGTGCTTTAATAATAATGACTACCATTTATCGAACGCTGACTCTATGCCAGCCTCTGGGTTAAGCACAACAATCCTGTGAAAATCATCACCATCTTACAGATAAGAAAACTGAAGGGTGGAGGTTAAGTGTGCTTACCATCACACAGCTGAGAGTCACTGCTCTGACTCAAAGCCATGCATTTAAAACAGGTGTCTTGCGTTACAATCAACTTCACAGAATCCTTTACCGAAAAAGTTGAGCCTAGGACCCAGCCCCATGCTCTGTCTACTATACTGGTCTCGCCTAAGGTTTCTTTTAAGAGTTACTTAGTTTGACAGCCACCATGAAGGTCCAGAGACCAAGAAACTGGGCCCAGAAACACCCGAAAGCTAATGTTGCCCGAGAGCCTACGCCTAAGGAGGAAGGCAAGGCAGAGTAACTCGAGAAGAGGGGACAAGGCTAACTCATGTACGTCAAGAGAGCGAAGAGGAAACCTACTCTCCACCTCAGGAGCAGGGACCGCAACAAGCATCCCAATTTCTGCACCTTACACCCGGGTAACTCGGTACAATGTCCAGAGCGCCTCTGGGTTCATCTCCAAGGAGCCCGCAACAACCCATGAGCTGGGCGGGGCAGGGATGAGTCCTACTTTGCAGAAAAAGCTGGAAGAAAAGCAACAGCGCGCCGGGCGGGCAGACAAGCAATGAGTGTGAGAGCTAGGAGGAAGACAGCTGCGGGACCTGGACACCCGGACCGGGTCTGAGCGGCACCCGAGGAGCCTCTGGCCCCCGCCGAACGGAGGAAAAGCCCAGGCCCCGCGGCGGCGACAAAGGCCGAGAGGGAGACCGCGGTTCTGAGGCCACCGCCCGCCGAGATTCGGGTGTTTTGGACGTCGGCCCAGTAGCCCCGCTACTCACGCTGGACCAGCCGGTCTCCGGAGAAGGTGGAGGAACAGCTGGTGACAAGCGCACAGGGAACGCCCGCAGCCATAGCTGCGCCTGCAAGCCAGTTCCGTCCCAGAGCCGCTTCCGCCTGGGCTGCACCACGGCCGCCGGCGCGCGGGGGAGACGCGCAAGGAAGGGCGCGTTGACGGGAGGAACCGGCTACCCTGACTCCTCCCACACCCCTTCTTCCTCCCCCGACGTAGAAGAGGCCGGGCTGCGCGTGGGGTTGCCATGGGGACGAGCGCTCTCCGCCCCTGTCTTCGACACCTGGAGACCGCTCCTCCTTCGGGAGGTAGTCCTCCCCGGCCCTAGCCATGGCACAGGAGACTGAAAGCTACGACCCCATCGGAACCATCCTAATCCAGGTGGGAAACGGGCCGTTCTGGGCCCTGCCCAGCTAAGACACTTCCGAGCGAGGCCCAGCAGCGCCGATCCACTCGCGCCCACCTTTTAGGAGCGCCGCCCCCAGACTGCCTCCAGCGTGAGGAGGGCAATGCTCCTCTGAGAACTCCCAAATATGCCCACCCAGACCTCGGCAACGAGCCTAACACGTCCCCCCTCCCCCCGCCCCCGTACCTTACCCTGGAGGTTGCGCTCCAGAAGCTCGATCGTTCTGCCTCTGGTAAAACTCCAAAACCATACACCTCACCCCAGAACCTTAACTTCCGAAAATCCGTCTTACACTGAGGCACAATTTTAAAAATGTTAAGCTCTGAAAAATTTGAACCCGTGATATGGGGGAAATACAAGTCAGACACTTTGGGGAAATGATAAGAAATCTGGGGAGAAGTTGAAATATGTAAACCACTTTTCTTAAGCACCTAAATTTTTTGGATCTGAAAGTACCTTGCATTAAGTCTGGGGGATGTAATATACAGCACAGTGACTGTAGTTAATAATACTGTACTGTTACATTTGAAAGTTGCTAAGAGAATACATCCTAAAAGTCCTCATCATAAAAAAATTATAACTATGTGAGGTTATGAATGTTAACTTGTGCTCATTTTTGCAGTTTATACAAATATTAAATAATTATGTTGTATACCTGAAATATAATGTTATATGTCGATTATATCTCAAATAAATAAAAGTCTTGCTTGGGAACACACACAGGAAAGTATATTAGAGATAACTTGGATTGCCTATCAAGTTAAAATTTTGAATATACAAATGGTGCCCAAAAAACTCAGGGAAATGACTCGTTGTAACCTGAGGGGGGAAATATCAAAAAAAAAAAAGTCTTAACTTCAGTATAACTCAGTTTGTGACCGTTATACTCAGATTTTTCCCACAAAAATTTTGTTCTTTCACATTTACATATGGTAGTTTTAAAACATTTCTGCATAAATCATCACTTTTAACTTGTATTTAGCTCCATTTATCTAAGGCTTGAAGTAATTTGCTGAAATTCACTCTATTCGGACTCTCACTCAGATCTGCAATGGATTTTCCTGCCAGGATATTGGTCTCTTACCTCCCATCTAGGAGAGACTTCTTTAAATGCATCTTTTTTTTTAAGATTTTATTTATTTATTTGTTAGAGAGAGGGAGAACAAGCAGGAGGGGAGCAGCAGGCAGAGGGAGAAGCAGGCTCCCTGCTGAGCAAGGAGCCCCATGTGGGGCTCGATCCTAGGACCCTGGGATCATAACCCGAGCCGAAGGCAGACACTCAACCGACTGAGCCACGCAGGCGCCCCTTAAATGCATCTTTTCCAAAATACAAACGCCTAAACTCACCGATTTCATAGAGTTCCCCACTATGAATAATACTCAAATCTTCTTACCTCATGTTCTGTTATCCTGTCACTAGCACCCTAATGAATTTAGCAAACTGCGAAGTCTGAGGGACCAGTCCCCACAAAACTGGCCTCATTTCTACTCCAGCCTAAGTTCAGAAGTCCCCAGAATCAACCTCACTTCAGGCCCGCTATCTACAAATTTGGGGGCCCTGACCACCTTCACACTGGCTAATTTGCTAGAGCAACACAGAATTCAGCAAAGTGCTATGCTTACAATTAGTGTTATAACATTGAAAGGATACAAATTAAAGCCAGCCAAGGAAAAGCATGCATAGGGCAGCGTCCAAAAGGAATCCAGATGGAGCTTCCAGTCATCCTCTCCCCATGGAGTCATGGATGGTTTTATCTCCTTCCCAACCATGATGTGTAACAATATACATCGAGTATTGCCAACTAGAGAAGCTCGCCTAACACTTCGATGTCCCAAGTTTTTACTGGGACTCAATCACACACTGCCCATGTTCTGACCTTTCATCTCTGACCCTTCTCAGAGGTCACACTAATGCCTTTAGTCCCTAGTTCCTCTAGAGGTTGGAACAGATACGGTGTGGCTGAAGGCCCCCAGCATAAATTACATTGTTAGACTGTCTGGTGACCAAAGCCCCCAAGCAAAGACACTTATCAAGCAGGACACTCCAGGGCCCTAGAGATCACCTCCTGATATCCAAGGGCAAAGGTCAGAACTCTCATTGGGAAAGGTTGATTCTTTACTACTTATACCCCCTCTAAATCCAGGGCCCATGTTTATAGGCTCCAAATAATTGGAACACTAATGGAGACTCCTACCCAGAAACAGCCAGTTTTCCCCCACAGTATACTTCGTGTTGACCACAGAAACAATTAGGTTACTCCTTAGTTTTCTCTATTTCTTCAGACCTGGAACATCTCTAAAAAAGAGACCGGAATCTGGGGAGAATTCTCACACCTAATTTCATGCTTTCCCTTGAGAGAATTCTTTTCCCAGGGCTGCTCCCCTTGTGATTTGGAATAGTGTAGAATAGGGTATCGACTGAAAAGCCAGAAGCCTTTTCACTTCAGAGTAGGATCCAAACGTAACTGTTTGATCAACCTAGGATACAACATTACAGTATCAACATCTGTTGTCACTGGATTATAACAGGGAACAGCGGAGCTAAGGACAGTCATATCCATGCTGATCAACACCCCCATATGCTAAAAAGAGTTATTCTGGACACAGTAATTGGAGGGCCGTGTAGAGAAAGCGAGCCTACGTGTCAACCTGATTATTGAGGCTGATCTCTAGACACAGTAGAACATTCTCCCTGGTAATATGGAGAATATATATAACAAGGAAATGAGGAAGACTTTCCCTACTTTCTCACCAAGTCCGGAGTATTTATGAGCATACAGCACTACTCTCCCGCACACAGCATGGATTCCACTGCTGCCTGGGGTGATGATTTATGTCCTTCAAACAGGCTACCAATAAGCAGTACATCTAGTGGAAAGCACTTTGTGGGGAGTCAGAATACCTAGGTCTGACCTTGGCAATGACATTCTCCCAGGTGGTAACTTTAGGCTAATCATTTCACCTCTCTGGGCCTAAGTTTTCTCTTCCATAGGATACATAGCTTGAATTAGATCCACCTTGGACTCTAAATTGACCCAATTCCCCACTTTTTACCATAAAGTGGCCTTCCTTTATTATCAGCCAAGACAATCAAATTGTTTCTATCAATTTATATGTAAGTGTGATATATATAATTATATATTATACATTTATATGTATTATATATAATATATATACATATACGTGCAAAGTTGCCAGAAAACAGAGGTACTTCAAATCTCTACCTGCTTCACCCTAAATGGGTATATCAGGCCTGTGTTTCAATCAGATACATTAAGCAACTTTAGACCAGTGAGTCTCAAAGAGTGGCCCCAGGACCAGTATCTTCAGCACCAGCTGAGAACTCATGAGAAATGCAAATTCTCAGACCTCATTCCAGACCTACTAAATCAGGAGTTCTAGGGGTAGAGCCCAGCGATCTGTTCTTATAACCCTTGAAGATAACTCCGATGCATGCTCAATTCTGAGACCTTCTACCTTAGATAGTACTATAAAATATAAACTAATATCATTTTCAAGAAAAATCCCAATAATCAAAGCTAACATTATTTTCTGGGTATTGTGCGTAGTTCTAAGTGCTGTGCATATTTTGATTCATTTAATCCCCTACAACAAAGTTATCTGATAAGGACTATTATTATTTCACATTACGGAAAAGAAACAGATCAAAGATGAGTATTGTGGGTAGACCCGTATATGTAGAAAATGCAAGCAATCTTCTCAAACCCTTTCAGTCTCTCAACCTGATATAAAAAAGAAAGCCTTCCCTTGCCCCTTTTTGCTCCTCTCAACATTTAAATCCTGCCTTTTCCACTGAATTTTCACCAACATTTAGCTTTGTAGATTTATAACTACATGTTTATATATTTGTAGATATTATGCATGTACTGGTTATGGTTAAACATGAAGGCTCTGGATTCAAACTGCCTGGATTCGAATAGTTCCACCAATTAACCAGCTATCTTACCTGGCACAGGGTACTTAACCACTTTAAACCTCAGATTCCCTCAAGTAAAAATAAAGATGATAATATGAACTCCCTCTCAAGAGTCCTGTAAGGGTCAAAATATTGGGTAACATATAATGTGTAACACTCAATAGATGTGAGTTATTATTAGATCTGGTCTCTTTTAGTATTACTTAGTTTTCTGTTCATTTCTGTGTCTTTTTAAGAGTAACCTACTTTTTACTGGAAGAAAAGGAAAAAATTAATTTTAGCCTATCTTTTTTTAAATTTTTTATTGTTATGTTAATCACCATACATTACATCATTAGTTTTTGATGTGGTGTTCCATGATTCATAGTTTGCATGTAACACCCAGTGCTCCATTCAATACGTGCCCTCTTTAATACCCATCACCAGGCTAACCCATCCCCCCACCCCCTCCCCTCTAGAACCCTCAGTTTGTTTCTCAGAGTCCATAGCCTCTCATGGTTCATCTCCCCCTCCAATTTCCCCCTGTTCATTTTTCCCTTCCTACTATCTTTTTTTTTTTTTAACATATAATGTATTATTTGTTTCAGAGGTACAGATCTGTGATTCAACAGTCTTGCACAATTCACAGCGCTCACCATAGCACATACCCTCCCCCATGTCTATCACCCAGCCACCTCATCCCTCCCACCCCCCACCATTCCAGCAACCCTCAGTTTGTTTCCTGAGATGAAGAATTCCTCATATCAGTGAAGTCATATGATACATGTCTTTCTCTGATTGACTTATTTCGCTCAGCATAACACCGTCCAGTTCCATCCATGTCGTTGCAAATGGCAAGATCTCATTCTTTTTGATGGCTGTATAATATTCCATATATATATATATATATATATATATATATATATATATATATATATACCATATCTTCTTTATCCATTCATCTGTCAATGGACATTGACATCTTCACAATATTTGTTCGTCCAATCCATGAGCATGGAACGTTTTTCTATTTCTTTGTGTCTTCCTCAATTACTTTCA